ATGTATAGGCCTGGTGGGTTCAGGGTCTTTCATCTTACATCTGCCTGCGAGCAGTTTGGAGGTGCAAGATACCTGAGCGTGTAATGTTAATTTTACCTGTGATCCTTTGAATAAATCAGCACTGTTTTGAAGTTACTTGGACTGTCTTGTCTCTGAGTTAGCAATGGTAAGAAGAACCAAAAAGTCCTGCAGCTGCTTTCTCCAGACAAATTGAAAACGCTACAGGTTTATAAGAGAGAAATCCACGTCCTTGTCCTACTTGAACAGCCGAAGAGCAAGACATATGGTGTTGTCAGTGAATCTTCCTTTTCCTAGCCATTGATAATTCATCATATAATGGTACATTTGTATGTCAGGTCACTGATCGCAACCTTCAACAGTTGTGCCGTCTTCCACGACTTGTATTAATCACATCCTGTGGCATATTGAAAATATTATTGCCCCATAATGAATTATTCAAAAGCAGCTTGCCTGCTTCCAGCACGATGGAGCAGGTAAGTCTGTACCAATGACATAACAGCCTGGGAGTAATAAAGGGATTCATGGAAAATTAATCAGAGTCTCCAGGAATTTCAGTGTGACCGATGAGGCCAGAAAGTGGGTCAGAACCACAGGTTGGCTGCACAGCTGGGTCGAGACACAGCGCCCAGGGCAAGAAAGGAGTCTGTGTGCTCTGTGCACCGTTTGTCATTAGCATCGCTGATTCTTGGATTTTTTTACTTCTTCTGAAAAGACTTGAGCAGAAAACAAAACGAACATATTAATGAACAATAAAAGGTAACACTGACCTTTTAAAAGCTGCATCTGACATAAACTCTGAGATCTCAAACCTGTGCATTCTTAGAGGAATGTGGTGAGGAAAGAACACCTGGCAGCAGAAAGTGGTCTCTCTAAGATAAACCAATGAGTGACTCATGCATTAAACATGAACTGCTCAGTTTGGAAGTGCCGTCCCTGAGAGTTTAGGCTTTGAAAAGAACTCATTCATATTTTAATTACACTGGAGGTTCAATTAATCATTGCTCGGTTTAAGAGTGAAATTGATGAATATTCAGTTGCCAAGTGAAACGACTTCTGACCTGAGCTACTTGCAATGGTTTTAATCATATTCATGCATATTAAGCCAGTTGTAATCTCTGCGGACTAGCGTCTTACCACTCAAGGTTGCTTTTTTATTTATGAAACATGCGATTAAAAAAAAACCCATCTAAAATAAAATGCCACGGCTCTGTTTTTTGGTAACATTCACTCAGATAGATGTGGAAGTTGAGTAAAGGAATTTGGCAGTGTTCTGCATATTCATCCTCTGCTCCCTGTGGTCTAAGGACCCTGAAGCTTCTGAGAGAAAAATGAACTCTGAAACTTCAGAGCTTGGATATTCAGATGAATGACCCTTAGCAGATGCCAACTATTATGTCTGTTATGAGGTTCATTTAGCTGGCTGACAGTGAGTTATCCGGTGAAGCCAGTGACATGCACATTTTTACTTTGACAGGGGGTTTGTTCACCCATACGTACAAGCATTTTCCAAAGGATTTTTCGAAACCCTCTTCAAATTCAATTCCTTTTTATCCCTCTTCTTTTTTTTTTAACCTAAAACAGTCTAAATTCAAGTCATTAAAGCACACATTGGCAGCGCACTGCGCAGTATATTAGAGTAAATGTGTAGCAATGTTTCAACAGAAATATGTACTGTGGAAACAAATGTGTCAGCCCTGTGACAGACTGGCGACTTGTCCAGGGTGGACCCCGCCTCTCACCCAACGTCAGCTGGGATTGGCTTCAGGAATAAGCAGTATAGATAATGGATGGTGTCTGGTATACAGTGTGACTACTGTGGCGAGCTGTGGGTTATTACAGAAACGACTTAACGAGCCCACTCTTTAACAATGCTTTATTGACAGGAGAAGCCAAACACACACAATGGAGAGAGACACGCTGTGGCCAAAACAAGGAGGGATGCCACTTAGCTGTACAACCAACCACACTCCTGGTAAGATATTCTGTGTGCTGACTAATGTGTTGACAACAATGAAATGTGAAACTATGACAAAATAACATGTAGAACTGTGTAACTGTTTGGAGAATGCAGTAGAACAGTATAAACATTAGACTTATGTCCATACATCCTAACACCTCCCACTTCCTCCGGGATGATACAGAACATTCTTATGAAACTGTATCTACACATGTGGAATTCATAACAGTTGAAGGCTTGACATATTTTGGCAGTTGTATGCACTAATGTGCGTTTTATGATGTGAAGAGTGAAATTATTCTTAAATGTTTTGGAAGGTAACACTGTTTAACTGAGAAGCAACTAATCAATTTTGATCAAAACAACATATACAATTAATAATAAACAGACTGCCGTAGTAGTGAGTCCTAAAGGCCGGAACTGAGCATTTTGTTGCTTCCGGTAATTCCTTGTAGCTTTCCAGCAGAAGCTCTTGTTTCCCAGCAGTGACAGAGTTCGGTTTGTCTTTGGATGTTTGAATGTACAGTAACCAATGAGAAACCAGCTGATCAAGGTTGTGGCTGTTACTGTATATAGTCTAGTCAGTGACCATGAGAGCGCTCACTAGTCTCATATGATTGAATCCAACCTTTCTAATCCACAGCTCAGGTGGGGGTAAACTAACCTAATGACCTCAGCCAGCATTACTTATTTGATCTTGGATCTGTTTAGCGACATATGAAGAACGGGACCCTGATTTTTGAGCGTGTGAAACCCTTGCAGAGCCCACAAGTTTAGTCAAAGCTAAACAAGGTAAAAACTGCCTCACCTAGAATAACAATTGTTCAAAGAAAAGGTGACATTTTAATGGTACAAGGTGCTCACCAGGCAGCAACTATATGTCAGGGGAAATCAGGTAGCATGCAGGCAATAGCAGAGTAGAATGAAAATACATGGGACCATAAGTTTTTCCTTTAATCCTACTCGCAAGTAAATGACAAGCTGAACAGCCAGTCACACTTCAACGATCTCCTCCAGCAAAATGGACAGACATTGATCTGCCCTGTTATGGATGAATAAAAGTCAGACTAAGCTGCTTAGATGCGCTATCACCCCTGCTGATTAACCAGGAATTAACCATGCTCCGTGTTGCACGGTCCTGCACCAGATCATTTTAGTCGGTTACTTTTTTAAGAGCCACTAAGTATCTCCAGACAGCAATTTAGCGCTTTAGCTCCCCTGGTCAGACTGACTAGGAGATTACAGAGCCAGGCCATTGAAACGCTGAAACATTAGGAGGATCCTCAGAGTGTCTAGGTGGCTGCCAGAGACACTGACATGCAAGAGAGTCCATATGGCTAGGAGAGCCTACATGAAGAGAGGTGAGGCTCCACCACAGGACTGGATGGAGGGATGGAGAACAGAAGAGGAGAGTGGAACAAATACAGAGACATTCACAGGCTGTCATGCTCAGCTCTAATTTTCCACTCATGTCTGAATTCTTTTTGTGACTGTCCGTTTCTGTTCCAGGAACCGTAGCTGAGATCTGAGCTGAGACATTAATGAAAGATGTCATATTTTTTTGGAACTTAAATTTCCTCCTACTTATTTGAAGGACATTTTTTATTTCACTATGTGCTTTTTCCTTAAGGCGTCTCAAGTCAAAACTGCCTGTTTGTCACTGCCTGTTGTTGTCAAACTAATGTAGTCAAAATGTCAGTCAAAACACCAAAATTACTTGAGGTAAAAATCAATGTCAAATTTTCATGTGTGGATCTCCTGGTTACTGAGGGTGACTTGCCTTTTTCAGGACCCCAGGTGTGACCCTCTGTGCCTAAGTGTCAAGATAGCCAGGTCTCTGTACAGGTCATCTTTTCGTAATCTACTCCTCATTCACGCTTTGAAATGCCTTCCACATACTGCAGTATATGATACTGTGGTTTCCTTTGTGTATTGTAAAGTTCTCTGCAACTATTTTAGGAAATGTAAATGTACTGTAAAAATATAGAGTTGTATTATTGTCCACAAGAAAGAGAATGATCCCCCTAAAATTCAAGGCATATTTCTTTAATTAAAGCCTTGAATATCACGACTGGCATGTGTTAACTGCTCAGCTGACTGCTGATCCTTCCCAGGGCCTTTACTATGCACAATAGCCACACTGTGCATTAGGAGCAACTTATTTATTTTTATCAAAGTCAGATCCAAGTTTTATTATTACAAAAAAGTAGATGAATATTCAGAGCCAAAACTCTATACATGTTTTTTTTTCTATCTGCACATGACAAATACTGTATAATTATAGCTAGGTAACAAATATTTGGTTAAAGAACTGTGGGAATACGATGGTAGCAGTTTTCTAAAAAGCCAACATTAATGGCCTGTGACGGATGAGAATTCTAGCAGCAAAGTCAGACCTGCTACTCACCCATACACCACCCACACCTCCACATCCTTGATTTCCACTTAGCCGCATAAAGGACACGCTGCTTCTAGCACTGATGCTAATTGCTGCCACTGGACATCAGTCGTGCACTATCACGTCCTTGTAGTGTCAGTGGGAACACAAAAAAAAGTTACTTCTATCCTATATACTGATCAGATTTGTATTATACAATGCTTTCAGCTTCAGTGTGAGCACAGCCTGAGAGCCAGCCAGGGCAGCAGAACTTTGCCTTTTTGCTGCAGCAAACTCAAGCCTGTCTAAAATAAAGTTCTGCTGCACAAGAGAGAATCTGTTGCCCCTGGATACTGTGACATGTCCGCTCCAATTCCTGCACTCGACACTAGTGGCACCGTATATGTGTATGTCGGTTTTTGTTAGCGTCCATGTGCATCTACACACACACACACTTGTGGGCATGTGTATGTGAGCCTCCTGTTGGTGTGTGTGGGAGTTTGTGTTTGTGTAGGTGAAGGAGAGTCCACTCCAGCAGGAAGGCAGAGGGAAATGCATCACTCTAAATAACAGTGCTTAGAGTTGGCAGCGAGGGAGGGAAGAGTTGTCCAGACTTGGGGGGATAGTAGGCGGACAAATGCATCACACACTTTTTCCACAGTATCCACAGACAGCAACCTTTTGCTCATATAAAGACAATAATGAATCAGAGCTGAGATGGATGTCGGAGAGAGTGACTTCCCCTCGCCCTGCTCTCCAGCCCAGCAGGTGGTCTCCAGCTTGTGCCTTGTTTGTCTTTTGGCCCTTGCTGTATAGTATGAGTCATTGCCCTTAACATGAGGAGCAAGACAGATGAAGGCAGGGCTCACAGACAACGAGCACACACCAGCAAACACACATCCACGCTGGCTCCTGTTTATTTCAGCAGCATCACTTCTTCAGAATACATCTGCTCCCACAGGAGCTGAGGGATTCTGGGAGCTGCTCGTTCTCGGCAGACACTGTGCTGCAGAGTTTCAGGAACAGAGGGGTGAAAAAATAGAAAATCAATGCCATGGTTTGAGGATACAGGGCTATTTTCCAAATTATGCCAAATGTTGCTCTTAGTCAGCGATGCATATCAGCTCATTGCTGAGGCACCTGACATTCATCATAGTGCTTCTGATGTTGCCAGGTCTGGGGTTGGGGTTTTATAGCATTTAGTTAGGATAGCACCAAATCCTAATTTTATGTATTTAATATTCCCATCAGTCTAAACTCAATAATCCACAATAACAAAGTGAAAACATTTTTGGATTTTTTCTCAAAGGTATTAAAAATCTCAAATTGAAGTCTCTCCTGTACAAGAAGCATTCAGAGCCTTTGCTGTGGTGGCACTCAGATTCTAGTCAGGTGCCTCCTGTTTGCTTTAATTTCCCTTGAGATGTGTCTAGAACTTGATTGGAGTCTATCTGTGGCAAATTGAACTGACTGGGCGTAGTTTACAAAAGCACACACCTGTGTATATAAAGAAGGTCCCAAGACAAAAACCAAGCCGTGAAGCCTAAGAACTCTGTGTAGACCTTTGTGATAAAACTGCAGTGAGACATAGATCAGGGCAAGGCTGTGAAACATTTCTTAAAGCTTTGAGTTTTCTTGGGAGCATGGTAGCCTCAATAATCAGGAAAACAGAATTTGATCTAGGGACCACCAAACTTGACTAATAGTAATTATTATTATTTCAGTATTTTATCAACTTGGTACAAGATCCAACATACAACAAGTTGTCCAACACTACTCAGGCCACGTACACTTCCAGGAAAACGCTGGATATTTACAGTATGATCATCATCTAAATATGCTTTATTTGACATTAGGCCTATAACATGCCAAACCGGCTGTCGGTCTTTGGCTAATGTTAGAGTGTGTCCTGTCACTGGCACTAGTTGAACCTGTAGGTGACTTTTCAGCTGATCTAGCTGAAATCGGAACCCGCTGGTGAAAGAGACCGCTCTCATTGACTGCTCAGCTTAGCAAATCAATGCATGAGAGGCTCAGGAAAGCCCCTTGAGCCTGTTGCTGCAGTATCCATGGTCCCACCCATTTAGTGCACAAACTCCTTAGTTTGTGCCTCTGTGACCTCCTGTTTCCACAACCAAAAGACCAAGGGCAGAGAACACCAGTGCTATTTGCAACTTCAGACTATCAGACGTATTGCAGGTTATAAAAGCACCATCTGTAGTGAGAAAGAGCTGCTTTGTTTACAGTTTGTTTATCCACAGTCCTGCGCTTTCAGCTTAACAAATACAGACTACTGCCACCTACTGGTATGGAGAATTATTTCGTCTCACACAGGTGCAGAAAGTATTTGCACATTGGTTGTAGCCTTTTGCTTGTTCAAGTGCCATTTTCTGGCCCAGTTGAATGCAATGTGAGGTGATGCAACAGTCGGGCCTTGTCTTTTGATGTAGACTTGGTGTGTTAGAGCAACACTGGTCAGATACTGTGGCACTGATGAGAGTGTATTGTTTTTTACAATTATGTAAAAACCACTGCATGTGTAAGGTTTAGATATTATAAATTCACATCACTGCCAAAAGGAGTGAAAAACTAAAATGGAGTGGATTTTTTCCAAGCAGTTAATTGTGTTAGGGTGCGCTCGAACACAGAGTGAGCGAGCAGATAAAAAGCGGACCCAGGTGGCTGGCTTCGGTGCAAGCAGTGAGGTTTATTTACAGTGAAGGTAGTGACATATATACAGGAGGAGTAATGAGGTAGATGACCGGGTGTCGATCAGCAGCAGCAGAAAAAACAGTCAGTGGCGTGGTGGATGATGATGAACCGGGCTGCGGACGCAGAGGTCACTCCTGGGCTGGTGGAGGTGGAGGTGATGATGGCTGTAGACAGAAGAGCAGGGATAAACTGGGTAAGGGAGACTGTGCATCGACCTGGGAGGCGGTGGCTAGTGGTGTAAATTAAATCCAGGGGGGTCCAGAGGAGAGGTCCGAAGAGGAAGAAGACACTAGAGACGGCAGGGCAGGATAACGACTAGGGGGCTAACAAGGACTAGAGAGAACAAAGACAATCTTAGCATAAACTTGATAAAACAACATAACAACCACTGGCCTGAAGACAGAGAAAGAACTGGCAGGGGAGTGACTGGTGAACAGTGTATAAGTATGGAGGAGACTAATGAGGTGCAGCTGGTGAGTAATCAGGGAAGCGGGGCAGGTGTGTTGAATAGTGTAATCAGTGCAAGGGCTAGGCTAGTGTGAGGAAAGAGAAGAGAGGAAGGTGGAGCTGGGCAAACCTGACAAATTGTGACAGTGAAAATGGTG